ACAGTTTTTGGCTTATATCTCCAAAACTAAAGCTTTTAGAGCAAATCTGACATGGGGTGAAATTGTTCAATTGGTCAAGATCTATCAGCTCTAAAATTTTCAGACGAATCGAACAACCCATTGTTGGGTTGCTGCCACTGAATTGGCAGTTTTAACTAAATTTTGCAGTTTTTTGTTATTATTTTGAATATTATTATTATATATATAAACTGTAAGCAGCAATAATGTTCAGCAAAGTAAGATCTACAAAAAATTTAATATGACCATAATTGTCAATTGACCCCTTAAGGAGTTGTTGCCCTTTAAAGACAATTTTACACAATTTGTTCATCAAGTTTGCTAACATTTAAAAATCTTCTCATCTGAAACTACTGGGCCAATTACCTTCAAACTTTAACTTAATGTTCCTTAGGGTATCTGTACAAATCTAATTAATTGCAATTGTTGTGTTCGCTCTAAATATGCATGACATATTTGCCACTGGAGCAATCAACAGTCAGGAGTCAATTTATGTGTTGCAAGTAAATTTGCAATCATGCTACAACCGGCGTTGAACAAACAAATGACCACAGCAACCAATACTCGACGTCTTCAATCGTGTCCCCGATCACATTAAATTACCGTAAACGTTATTGACGTCACTAAGTACATATTATCGCTAAAACGTTTGAGACGTTATTGCGTTTTAAAGTGGACACGTTTTGGCGAATAACAATTATCGGACACGTTTGTGGGATGTGAGATCCGACACGTTTTGGCGATTTTGGATTTTAAGGACACGTTTGGGCAAAACAGACACGATATGGGTTATCGGACACGTTTGGGGGGATGGGCACGTTTGTGAGTGCTACATATATATTCGTATTAGAGTATGAGGACCAAACAGGCCGAATAAAATACAAAAAATACATGACAGTAATAGGAGACGCAACTGTCTTTTTAGCTATAGTATATCTAGGTATATCTGTTTTATTTAAACTTAATTTAAAAAAAAACAATCAAAAGATGACAAAAACGAAACTATATCCACAGGCAAACGTTTACTCAATGACTGACATTCAATCAACTAACAGATCCAGTTGAAGTAAAATATATGAATATGGTTTCTATCCGCATATCACCTAATTGTTTTAGTATAAAATAAAGCACATTTTTATAAGTATAACAGATTTCTTCAATTGTACAATGTAAATTAAAAATTAGGTAAAAGTCTTTTGAATAATCTTATTGTAAATGTATTTTCTGCCACTCAATTAGGCCATCTCCCTCAAAGAAAAGGGTAAATATTATACATGTAGATATAGTATCTACAATTAATGGGATGCTCAGATTTAGAAATGTTCCCCTCGACAGCATATATGTATGTTCCATGTTTTGACAATATAATTAATTTACAGGTTGCAAATAATCCTAGGGTTACAATGGCTACGTCCAAAGTATACATGTTCTTCCTACGAATACAGTTAATTTCCTAACTCACTAAAGATCCGTTTAATTCCATTTGATATATAAATTTGCACTAACTCTACCTTGATGATATCTTTGCTTTAGATAATTAACAGTAATTACGATGCGGAAACTTTCCGATTGGAATTTACAATTAGTAAACATGTTCAATCTAATATCTATAGATGTGCATATGAATAGGATTTCCCGGTTCATTTTGTTCTTTAAGATTTATAAACCTTTCAACTTTAAAATTGTATGTATGTCGATCAAAGTCCTTGTCATCACCTCTCCACCTACAAGAACATGTTTACTGTATCTACACTAGCTTTGGTATATTTTAAAAACCTTATATTAGCCTTTAAATTTTCCATGACACATGTCATTTTTATCTCAACAAGGTTCGCACTTTCGAGCACTTATCTTGTCATTATCACTCCTCATTCATGGGTAAACATATTTACAAGACCACACCTATAATATTTTGTCATGACTGCCTACTGGGTCCGTGATACCATCGGTACCGAAAATTCAACCATTGACGGTATAGACCCAATGGTTGCCAAACTCATTGCAATCATTAGCGCCATATTTTAGTATGTCGTACTTAGGTTTTGTTCACAAACAATTTATGTGAAGAACGCGTAGAAACAACAATAAAAATCAAGGAATTAATTAGATGACTAATTGAAATATTGTGAACCGTTCGGTTTTCAACGCAGCAGATAGTATATCTCATTGGGTCTAAATGACGATATCTCATGGGACAAGGGAACATATCATATACTGTTTTTCTATCATGAATATTGTAAATAAAGGATATTGATCTCATAGTCAACGTAACAGTCATAATGAACATATTAGTTTTGCATTTGATGATATCTTATCTATATTCAAAAATCAGATTTCAATCATAAAGCAAACTGAGTTAAATACCGTTTAGTTAATTACAAATCGTTTTCCACAAGTGTTATGCAAATTGTTGTCACTCCATTCTATGAGTGAACGCAAACAATTGAAGCTTCTTATCACCATAAGCTATTTCCTGGTATTGTTTATCCTGAAGATAATATTTCAAATCATATGTTGATTAACCAATTGCAAGGCAAGGCAAGGATTGTCTCAAATCGTTTAAGAAGTATTAACTTCCTATAAATATACTGTTCAAGCCTTTCCAGCTGATTTGAACAATTCGACGACGTGTTGTTACATCACTGTTCCAGATTAGTTTTTGAGGATTGAACACCTACAAGCATGTTGCTGGCATGTCAGTTAACTGCTAGTAGTCTGTTGTTATTTATGTATAATTGTCATTTTGTTTTTTTTTTCTTTGGTTACATCTTCTGACATCAGACTCGGACTTCTCTTGAACTGAATTTTAATGTGCGTATTGTTATGCGTTTACTTTTCTACATTGGCTAGAGGTATAGGGGGAGGGTTGAGATCTCATAAACATGTTTAACCCCGCCGCATTTTTGCGCCTGTCCCAAGTCAGGAGCCTCTAGCCTTTGTTAGTCTTGTATTATTTTTAATTTTAGTTTCTTGTGTACAATTTGGAGTTTAGTATGGCGTTCATTATCACTGAACTAGTATATATTTGTTTAGGGGCCAGCTGAAGGACGCCTCCGGGTGCGAAAATTTCTCGCTGCATTGAAGACCTGTTGGTGACCTTCTGCTGTTGTCTGTTCTATGGTCGGGTTGTTGTCTCTTTGACACATTCCCCATTTCCATTCTCAATTTTATTTACCTGCACTATATTCTCTATGTGCCACATACCAATTTCAAGACCCTGTTATTCAGCGCTTACAGTTGATTTATTAATGTCAATAATTAATATTAACAATAATATTATTGATTATATGTCAAAGTTTTGCTAGCAAGAAAGTTTTACTTTCGTTCGGTTTTTTTTTTTTTTACATTTAAAAGTATTTAAAACAAAAACAAACTATACCAGTGGGGAGATAGGGAAAAAAAAATGTTAATCTTAAAACGTGGTCGTGAAAGGGTATAAAAATAAACTTCAATACAGATCGAACGATTTTTAAGATAAACAATTTGGTGAAAACTAAAAGAATTGCATTGAATTTATGTTTCTACTCTGGATAACAAAAGGTGGTGCTAAAAGATAAACAACTACGTCCGCTTGTGGCATTGTTGGTCACGATAAAGGATGTATCCATACTCTTAACGAAGCTCATCATTGAAGAAACATAAAATATCAAATATCCAATAAGAATAGTTTATCAAACTAAGGCATTACTTTTTATGTATTCTTGTTAGTGAATGTATGTATAGGTCATTATACTATTTGTTAACATGCAGTACTTTTTTTTTAAATCCTTTAAGTTTTTGTTCATATACATGTAGATTATTCATCTACCACTTCATAGTCCTTATCTTGATCATCACGCATATAAAAAAAACAAGATTGGAAGTTCTGTTTCATGTAAATATGTTTCCTTAAATTACTGTGGATTCATTTATTTTCGTAGGTATCAATTTTCGTGGATTGAGGAAAACTTGCATTTTCGTGGATATTTGATTTCGTGGTTTTTAAAAAATCTGCATATAATCATACAGCAGATTTGTAATTCGTTGAACATTTAAATTCGTCGTTTCCCTGTAACCACGAAATCCACGAAAATTGGTATCCAACGAATAATAATGATTCCACAGTAATATCGAAGGACAAACTAATAATACGATATAATGATAAAGACTATAATTTCGTTTTTCAATTTGAGGTTCAGTAGCTGATCATACAATATGTACATTTTATCTGCTTACCTGTTGTGCTAATCTGATTTGATACGAAACTTCTCTTCAGTCCGATTTCATATTTTGACTTCAGATTAAACATCCGCTTAAGTAGAATTTTGAAAATGAAAGACTGAAATCCATTATATAAATTACACATAGCTGAGAGGGTGATAAAGCAGATTGTTACCCAGAGAAAACTGAGGCAAAGCCGAGGTTGATAATGCTTTTTTAGTGGTACCAATCTGCTCTATCACCCTCTCAGCTCTTTGTTATTCATTTATTATACTAAATGTTCTATCATTATTGTCTTTTACTGTTTTTTGAATTTAGTCTACTTAACTATGACGTCACGCACATAACAACGTAATAGTTATTTAAAAAACAACAGAATGGAAGCGAGACAATTTTTTTTTTTCATTTTAACAGTCTACGAAAAGGTTCTTCTGAGGCCCGAACGAAGACCATGAACATTGTCTTCAGTTCATTGGTGTTAATTCAATTCATTGTCCTTTAAGTAAATAATCGATTTTTGATTAGTCTGCACGAAAGGGTGACATTCAAAAAATTGTCTCCTTCTGAGCCATTGGATAAAGTAAATTATCTTCCTCGTATTATCCAATTTAAATCTGGCATTTGACGTGAAGTATAATAATATAGGTTATTCGTTCCAAACAGCAACTGTTACAATATCACATTGTTTTGACGTTTGAATCAAATCAGTTTTATTATCTCTAATCATTTCCACATTTGAGAATCCGATCACTTTTTTTAACTTGAATTACACTTTTTTCAGAGATCACTGACAAAAGAACAAACCAATGCAACGCGTTTGTCAATCAATTCACTTTCAGTTTTAACTGATGTTCTTTATGATCGTTTATGTCTGGATTCGGCGCCATTAACACCTAGGAGTCAGTGTGATGTAACATTTTTATATGCAAAACTTAGAAGATTTGGTCAATATATGCCAACTAAAGGAACATATGGTGGAGAATTTAAAGACATTAAAGATGTCCATAAGAAAATCGGTGATGATATAGAACGAGTTCGACTTATCCGAAATGAAATCCAGCATTTTGGCCTCATTTTCAATGACCCACGACAGGTTCATGGAAATAAGACGAATGTGTCAAACTATTGCAAAAAGAATTGAACTCCATAACAAAAAAGGCACGGCATACAGCGATGACATCAGAGCTGTTTTACAAAAAGACATAAGCAGCCGTCAAGCAGAGGCTATGGAAACTAAAATTATGTTCGGTAACTATGATTTAAAATATGTTCACTTATTATGTTGTTTAAAAATAATGATAGCTTCTAATCTTTGTTTTTCAAGTTACCTAGGATGTTGCAAGGTGATTAACATTGACTAAGAAGAATTAATAGAACAAAGTATGATAAGCCAAAACAGGACACAGACACCCTGTAACAGTAGCTCAAAAATATAAGTGTTAATTTACTTTTTCAACATCAGGCTAATATCTGTAAAATATTTACAAGTGGTCAAGAGCCCGTGTTTACCATTGTGATTGTAAATTTTTAACCGTTCTATTCAGGCCATTGGAGCAATTTTTCACCAAACAAATATTTAATTTAAATTTATGATAGAAACACTTTGCTATTATCATGATTATCATGGAACATGTCTTGCTACTTTATAGCAATATTATCACTACATGTAGCGACAACATAACACTGCTGCCATACTTTATAAGGTATTAATCTTCATAAATGCATATTCCAAAAATATCACATAATTTTGAAAAAGAAGAATGTGGTATGATTGTCAATAGACTATCCTTCATTGCTCAAATGCACTGGATTTAAACAAAACAGTAACCATTTGGCATTAAACATTGAGAAAATCCATACCATAAAGTTAGCAATAAAAAAGCCACTTCATGACAAAACTTAAATAAGTTCAAACAAATAAAGATTCCCTTGGAGGGGGTACCGATCGCAAAAATGACTAAAATAGCTAGATGGATGAAATATGCCTTTACGAAATGTGTAATACATATAGTTTTTTTAGCTGTACGATATTGCTAAGCAGATATGTTTTTACAGAAAAACCTAGACTTAACATCAAGAAAACGTTTTACAAAAGTACAGAAGGAGAAGGTTGCACATTGGAATGCCAAATCCTGGTACCGTTGCCAGATGGTGCAACTATTCAGTGGTTTAAAGGAAAAGATGATAACAGGACAAATATCAAGGATGATCCAAACTGGGAAACAAAGTACAGCGGCGCTTCTATGCAGTTTCCATCCCTGAATATTTTAAACTGTGACGAATCTGATGAAGATTTTTATTCCAGCATAATAAAATACCCACAAGACAGCGCCGAGCATGACGATAGTGCGAGAATCGAGTGGCCGACTACGTTCCTTCATGTTCGTAAAGTAAGTTAGCTTAAACACTAATTCCAACAAAAAATATTATATGCTACCGCTTAAATATCCTTTTACAACATGATTTACTGTTGGTCGTGAATTTGTTACCTTATATTATTAATTTAATCATATACACATTGAAAAGTTTTTAATGATAATCAAACAGTAAATATGTTAATACTTTACTGTAATTAGTAACAGAGAAATACTTAATTTATACATATTAAGATGAATTGTTCGAAATCGGTAATGAGTGTCGTTTATTATTTTCTTAGTTTATGAAATAGTTAAACTACATGTACCAACAAAGAACTTATTGTTTATATTCAACATGTTCAAGAGAAATAAACAAAATTAATAAAAAAAATATAAATAAAACCCGAACCAAAAGTTACCTTTTTCTAGAGATACTGGAAAACAAATAATGAATTCAAGAAACAAAAGCGATGTTAGTTTTGTTCCTTAATAATGTCCAATTTTAAATTAAGACTAAAATCAAGTCCGTACGGTGACCTATAGTTTCCACCTTGTATGTCATTTAAATCATGGAAGAAAGTTGACTCATTAGCAATCATACAGTAACTTTTTATTTTTTCATCTTTGGTAATCAATGTTATTAAATTTTCGATAGCCCATTAGAAAAAACGACGAGTACAGTCAATATATCAAGTCTCAAGTTAACTTTCCGGGTGCATTTAAATATTTCAAAATTTTCATAATGTTTTTTGTGTTATAGAAAAAAACAACAAACATTAGATAAAACTATTTAAATGCTCAAAATTTTTTAAAGTTAGACAAACGGGCCGCAAACTTTATTGAACTTTAATATTTTAGTTAAAAGTTTGAAATATAAAGAAGAAATGTATTTGTAACTGTTCTGTGTTTTGAATCATTGATATAAGCGACATTTCAAATGTCAAAAATAATAAAATGTTACGAAATGGAGTTTTGTAGTTCGAGTTTCCGACATATTTCAATATTAAATGTATTCTGTTCCTTGGGTGGTCCACATTATTATAATAAAAGTTTGGTGTAAAAGTGAGTAATAATCATAAATATGTTGTTTTTTAATTATAGTTCAAGTTATATTGCATCTGCAGATGAATTAAAGTTAGACAAAAGAAAACACGAAAGGTTTATATTAACTTTCGTCCTATTTGAACATCTATATAAATGTAAAATGATATTGTATGATTTAAAAAAACTATCCACTACAGACAAATGACATAGATGTTCATGATGTTAGCAATTATAGGTTACCGTATGAATACTGCCTTCAACAATGAACACAACTCATGTCGTCATTTGCTTTTTGTGTGTTTTTTGCTCTTTATGTACTGGTTTTGTGTCATGAATGGATACCCCATATCCTTTAGTTTTTTCTAAAATGATTCTAGTGGCTTAATGTCGAGCTCTAACTTAATAATAAGCATAAAATAAGTTCAATGTTTACTTGGATATCGAAATTACACTCGAGTAAACGTTAAATGTTAGATGCGAATTGAAAATGTGATTTTTGGTTGAAATTAGAGTAACCCTGGAATTGCATATTAACTGTTTCATATAAGATTAAAATATATTTTAAAGGACCATTTTGAAAGTTCAATGCATTAAAACAAAATAGGTAACAATTAATTAAACTAGATGCGCATTCCGGTAATTTACATCTCGTCTAAGGTGCTCGGGACCAAAAATCCTAAATTCAGAGATCTGTTTTGAACGTTGTTGACATTTTATAACCGACAACGGCCAAACGTTGATAACCCAATAGGAACATGTCTTAAGATTTAACTGTTGTTTTTATTCGGTTTCATAACCTGACAACAGCATTTCAATAAATTAAGTAATAATGTGTTTTTCATGCATGTACTAACGTACTTAGCTACTGCGGTAGTGTTATTAACGCAGTTCCCTAGCAGATGTGTCTATCCAGCTGAAACACTAATGAGGTCGTGGTCAACATATTTGAAGATCTCAAACTTAATAAAACGTTGACGTGCTTTAAAGAGCTGACAAAAAGAACAATATATATTTCATAAACCTTTTTGTGCTTAGAAAATTTCATTGATTTTACAATTTGAAAAAAAAACGTTTTTCATTTCCAAATATGACTTGACAAAGACCGTTATTTCACTATGTCTACACAAACAGCCAAAAATGAAGATTTATGTTTAATATTTTGTAGAAGACTGAGTAAAGTAGTGGATCGGTGAACAAGTAGTTTTATCATAAAGACATAAGTCGATGCATGCCTGAATATTTATAATATTCTGACAGCAAAAACAATTATTATCAATGGAGAGAGGGACTTGTTCTGTAAGACATTTTGACGAAAAATTTGTGTAAAATAGTATTTTCGTTGTATTTTTATATATTTGTAGAATATGTACCTTCTATATTTTCAGTGTATATATCATACTCTATATAAACTACCAAATAATGTATTGTTTTAATGTACTCTTTTGTTTGTTGTATTTTTTTCATGTATTCGTTGCATTTACATTCGCTGTATGATGTCTGATCTCCGAATACTGCAACTTATCCAATAACAAAAATAGGACAAAATACGATGGGTGTTACACGTGGAATGGTAATCAAGGCAACGATTCACTGCGATTTTACGGCATGAGTTCGTGTTGTTCAATCTTTGTATTGTTTTCATCTTATTGTTTCAATATATATGGGAAATAATAGACTCTGAATAATTGGTGTTTGAAAGGATCTTTACAAATCTTTCACATCTGGTTCAAATTAAACATAAATACATGAATGTCCTCCAAATGCAATCACTGGTAGCATTCAAATTTAAGAGATCCTCTATAAAGAAAGATATATTTTTCAAACAAATTATTTCTGGTAAGCGATTCTGAATTTATGAAAGTTGAAGTTTATTCTCAGGACGGTGTGTTCTCTCTTCCTTAAAATAGTGTTTTAGTTTGGGTTTTTTTTATTTTATTTTTTTGTTGTTGGGACGGGGTTTTTTTTCAACTACTTTATTTTCTTACTTTTAAACTTGAATCTTACTCTTATTATAACAAATCCAGCAAAATAACCTAATGACCGATTCCTGCGATTTCCATCATTGGAGGCTCGTGTCTTGAGTTATAAACAGTCGTATTGTTCTCGTATTTTTGTATTCATAATGTTTGGAAACCTAACTGAATTTTATGAAGATCTTCGCATGTCACTTTAAAGTTGTTTCTGCAGTTTTGTCGTCTTTCTTCTTTTTCTATTGTCTCCTTTTTAAATTGATTTTTAAATTCTTTTTCTTTTTATTACATTCCGGTTGCCCTTTTTAGGGAGAATTTTGACAGTAGAATTAAAAATGTTATTGTGCAACCATTTTGTAATTCGTACAGATATTATAAACTGATTGTTGTATACTAAGTAGTTCATTTCAACATATCTTTTTTAGGCACCATCATTTCGTAGACAGATTTAATTTCACTTCTTTCATGTAGTTGTTTCTGTATATTCATATTTTGGTTTATGTATAAATAAGAGACACCGCTTAAGATAATATATGTATAATCCCAATTGATAAATTGTATCAATAATTTCACTGCAGTCCGTGCGTCAAAGGAAAAGGCAGTCACATACATCTCTTAACTATCGTCCTATTTCTGTTACTATTACTGTTTGTAAGATTATTAAACAGATTCGTTTTTAACATTTGACGTATATGTCTATGTAGAGTAACAACTTGTTGACAAAGTTTCAATCTGGATTCAAGCCATGATGCTCTACTGATACTCAGTTAATTATAATTTAGAATATAATAAAACAAATCATAAAATTTACAGTAATATGGATAACGTTATAAGTGGTATTTAAAGTTTGTATTTTTTTATGTACCTAGAACTTTTGATAAAGTTTGGCATAACTCACTCTATTAAATCTTTAACCGTCTGTTTTGAATGATCAGGTGTTATCTTGGGTAGATATTTATCTTTCAGATCGTCAAAAAAATTTGTTTTTAAGAAGGCTTTCCATCAACTCTTAAAAGTATACATGAACAGATTCTTCAAGGTTCAGTTTAAAACCCTTTCTGTTTAACATTTATATATAAATAGTTAAGTAAATGACATTGAAGATGCCATAAACTTTTTCAAAGACAATTTATTAGTTGTTATAGACGATGAGTAGTATACAGCAGCTGCTTCTTTGAATGAAGACTTTCTGTAGATGTTATATCAAAATGGGCTAAATCATGGACTGTTCAAATTAACTCCAAGAAAGAAAAAATATAGTGTACTTACTAGTAGGGATTAGGAACATCAGTTTGTATTTTTTGGGGATTGATAATGAAGAGGTTGGGGAAATAAATGAATCACTGTCATCTTGTGATAACATTTCAGTCTTCAATGAAAAGAACATATAAATAATTTTTTTTTAAAAGCATGCTCTCGTTTATCTGTTCTTCGACAAATTCAACGTTTGTAAGACATGAATTGATTTCTACGTATTTACTAAGCTTTTATTATACCCATATAAGAGTATGATGATGTTGTTTGCGGTAACTGCTCTCAGCATCGTTCCGAGCTTCTTGAAAATATTCAAATAGAAGCTGCTAGAAATATTACTGGACTTTGGCGTAATTCCCCAAGATATAATCTTTACATTGAAAAGGGATTAGAAACTCTTGAAAATACTCAAAATAAAACATAAGTTTATACTCTTTTATCAAATATTGAAAGGGATGACACCTGCTCAACCCCTCATACTTTGACGAATGAAAATAATTCTCCCCCTCCCTTTCCGACGTGTTAGAACTAGCTCTTACTTAATTAGTTTCATTCCTTTCACTATAAGGCTTTGGAATATTGTATAAAATAATCCCAAAGTTTATGTATATCTAAATCATACTAGACAACTTTTATAGGACTGATGAAATATTTAAGACTTTCAATTGTGGAAAAAGAAAATATAAAATCAATCATTGTCAACCTAAATTCCATTTGTTTAGAATACTATTTGTTTAAACTGTAACCACCGTGTTGAGGATAACCAAGACGTCTTTTTTTATTTGCCATTACAATTTTACAATGATGTAAGCCAGATCGCACTTAATTCCATTCACTCAATTGTCGATAATAAGGTGACATAGATAAATTGACCTATTACTTTTTGGAAATAGATTATTTTTGTCTGATGTAAAATTTGCTATTTTTAAATGGTGCAGTAATAATAAATCAGTGACACTCATCTTTTTGTTTGATAAAAAAAATATTTAACACTGTTTGTTTTTCCTTTCCTTTTTTTCACAATGTATTTTTTTTATTTCCTTTTTTTTTTCCCAAGCATCATTTCATTTATTCCACTAAGTAAGCTTTAGGCCCCTTTTACTCATATATTTCTTCAACTGTTTCGGTTCATATACATTCTTGGTTTTCAAATATTCGGCTTTGAGCGTTCCTGATGAAGGAAAATCTAGAAAAAGGCAGCGGACGCATGAAATATATAACGTGTTGTTTTCATTTTTAGAATCTATTCCAAACCTAATGTATATTTCTTATGATTTTTAAATAGTGTTGATATGTATATGTCTGAGAGTGTTCGAATAACTAACGCTTACATACTTAAAGATAGTACACATTTTGTTATCAACATTTTCAACATGTATTTTTGTGTGTGTTTTCGTGCATTTTCTACTGTAGCTCTAATATTCTAAGTCCAGTTTTTAATATATGATTGCTACATTGTACATGTTGTATTGAGCGAGGTTTTAAAGGCTGCACTTGTTGCTTAATTCTTTTCATATCTTAATGAATAAAATATGTTTAAAGTAAAAAAAATCTACAGAAGTCTTTTCAAAACAAGTTTACATTTGTTTTTATAAACTAAGATAAATAAAGTGTACATTCATGTAAATTTGCCAATCGGTATTGCTGAGAATCAATACATTTGCGAAATTTTATATATTAATATAAAATGTTTACTGGAAATGTAGACAATTTCATACGTAAAATGTTAGTTGGAACTTCGAGATAACTATTACTGTACAGTGGTAATTGTGTAAAGGTTAATAATTTCGTTGTTTTTTTTTAAATAGAAAATATTGTTTATTAAATATATGGCATATTTTGTTTGTTTCTTTATCTTAGTCACATCTAGGAGCCAAATTGTGAAGAACTTGTCTGTCTACGACTATAAGACTATATTTTGTTTCAATGCTCCGTCATTTTTAGGGGTCTCGGTGGCCAAGTGATCTAATAGTTCCTCTACTATATCACTAGGCTGTCAACACTGAGCTTGTGAGTTCGAACCCCGTAAGTGACAGGTGCGTTCGAATCTAATCTTAATATATTAGGATTAATTGTTTTTCCAGCCGAGCATTCTGGTCTCCCCAACCTATAAAGACAAACCGAAAACACAGAAAAAGTCCTGCAAGTTTTTCAACACAAACAAGCAATCATATTTTTCCTGTCATAGTCTTGTACAGTCGACTATACGGGATTGATTTTTCTCATTGTTGAAGGCCGTCCGATTGCCTATAATTGCCTACATCCACACCATTTGAATTCTGAAGTATAGTTGTCTTATTGGCAATAATACCACATCTCCCTATTTTTCTGATCAATCCGTCCTTTTTTTTTAATCCTCTGGAAGAAGAAAAACATGAAACACATCAATTTGAAAGTGGTATTTTAAATTAAGATTTGGACGAACAAATATCCCTGAGCCGACTATTAAATATCGATCTATATGCCCTTGTACATTCGTTTATATTGGTTAATCTGTTTAATGTTTCGATATTAAAAATATCGACAAAATAGATTCTATATCGACATTTTGTAATTTCCGTCTTGATTTGATTCTCTTTCCGTTTCCTTGTTATGATTAATGCGAAAACAATAAACGATAGAAAAAATATGGCAGACAGCGATCAACACAACCGCCGAGGAACATGCTCCTTACTTGAGATCAAATCATAAAAGAAAAAGACTTGTGTCCAACAATTTTAATGCAATTATAAACCTTGATGGATTTATAAAATCTTTGAGTTTATGATGTTGATAATATATCTTTTTCGTAAAGATTTACCGATTTTGTTACAAAAAAAAGTGCAAGTTCGAGGGGTTTTTTTTTAGGTCGTCTGCTTCAAATTCAAAAAGGCACATTATAACTAGAAAACCAATTTTAGTCTGAAACTGCAATTTTGACCCTAACATCACATGAATAGTCTAAATTCGAGACCGTTAAGTATTCTAGGATTTAAATACTTTTCAGATACTTTCTCGTACATGCTGTTTATATATATATATATATAGGTTATAACTACAGTACAGTCAAAACATAGACCTAACAGATGTTAAATGACAATATAGACATATCGACAGTTGAGCAGATACACCAGCATTCTAATTGTTGATATAAATTGAAATCGTCGATATCAAATCGAAAATGACGATATTGAACAAAAGTCGTCAACGTAAATTTGAATTATATCGCTGATA